CCCTTACTTCCGGTGTCCACCACCGGGTTTGGGGATTGCCACCACGACAGGCACCGGAGACCTTACGGCCACAGCTCAGAACGGCCACATCGACAATGGAGGTGGAGAATATGGTCCACTCGGACTCAATATCTCCAGCCTCCCCCGGGATCTGGTCAAAGCTCTGCCGGAGGCGGGAGTTGAAGATCTCTCTGACAGGGGATTCTGCTAAACGTTCCCAACAGACCCTCACAATACGTTTGGGTCTGCCGAGTCTGTCCAGCTTCCCCCCCCGTCATCGGATCCAGCTCACCACCACTCGGACACTCTCTTCACCCGAGTGTCCGAGACATACGGCCGGAGGTCAGATTAACATTCTGAAAAAATGTGACTATTTGGAGTTATGAGGGGTGGCAAGATAATCTAGAGGTACCCAAAATTTAACATTAAATGACTGGAAACGAACAAAATGAGCAGCTATGGACACTTTAGAGAAGAGTGAATATTGGGCTTATGATTGATGATTGCTTGCAAAATATTGCTCCTTATCTGCTTTATAATGTGATAATACTGTATTTCATTGTTGTTTTTGGCGTCATCTGCTTTCCTCAAATGGCCAAAAGTAAAATCAGTTAATGCAACTTTAAAACTGTAAGTGCCAAGGGAAAACATGGAACCTAACCTGCGTCCACCATGGTAATGCTGTCACTCTGAACCTGTTTGTTTTTAGCTGCTCCATTCACTGTCTGTACTGAGTGATCCACATACTTGTGACTGCCCATTCTGTTCCTGCAAACTTCAGCATACTGACTGTTTCTCTCTCTGTGAAAACAAAGCGAAGATGACACCAGCTTATTAAAATCACAAAATATGCATTTTTCAATTAATCTTCAATAGAAAGAAACCACATACTGTATATTCCACAGTCACATAGTGCATCAGTATGTGTGTCCAATAATGTAAAGAATCTCTAGGCTGTACTTTCCTGCTGGTGAAAAGCTTTACTGTAGCTGCAAGTGCAAGTCTATTCTTCTTGTGCATTGGTGTGTTTGGTATTTTCTCATCTGAATGAATGTCTTTACACTGAGGTGGGAGGAGAGGTGCAGTTGAGGCTGTGTTTATGCTAACTACAGTAAGCACCACAGTGCCATTTTGATGCTCATTTACACTACAACCTGCTCAAACCACCTTTTAATTGCAATTTTCCTAATAACAGTCTAGGCTATGAAGCAGGAGAGCAGCTACCCAAATATGTTTTCAGGACAACACTACTTGAAATAAACCATTAAATTCACAACAGATTCACTGTGAATAATTTATTGTGAGATTGTCTGAATTATGAAATGGTTGACTGTTTAAAAAGATTATTTTTAAATAATAAAAATAAACTAGTCCTTAATATGTGGCTCTATATACAAATATGATCAAACAGGGTTGAATCACAACGCATCATGTGTCCCTATAGGGTGCAGCTGTGAGTAAATGAGTATATACTTGTTTTTCCTGCACAAAGCTAGTCAGTCATATCAGCAGAGTGAATACTTGTGTACAGTACTTCTACATTAAATATTTTTTCTCAGCACAGTTTAGAAATGGAATATATAGTTAGTAGGAGAATATAAGGAAAGAATTTTTCATCCCAGCATCTCAAATATTTCAGTAGATAGGTTCATGGCAACGCTGCACCTCAGACAGCACATCAGTTTCCTTCTGTGAATGCTTTCTCTCACAGAGCTTCTCCAGCTAAGACATCATGATGCTCAGTACTGTATGTGCCGATGGCAGTGGTCACCAAAATTGCAAAAAAAACAGCTGGACACACCTACATGGAGTTCACGTGGAGTATACATTTGCATTTGTCTCGGTGCCCTATTTCAGAAAATTATGGCCCTCCGTTAAAAAGATTAAGAGTGGTGGGGCTTCCTTATGGGAGGTCTTGGAACAGCACTACTCACAGCTGCATTTGCACACATTTTGGATCTTTTTTAAAACATTCAGAAGAAAAGGAACTTTACTCACATGATAGCTTTTGCATCATCAGCATCTGCTGACACAAAAGTATTGGGTATGTCCAGCAGAGAAATTGTGCTTGTTTCAGACAGATAGACATCTATGATATCTTTCAACATTTCTTCTGTCACCTGTTCTTTGACAATCTCTCGTTTCTTCTGCACATCTGGCAGAGAACAAAAGACAAAAAATGACACTTTCACAGAATAATACATATTACAGCTCTCTGTTACAGTGAACGGTGATATTCAATTATCATGTAATCTTGAAGATGCAACTGTATGTTGACACATTTAATTACTTAAATTAACTTGCTGACATGTACAACATTAAAAGGTGGAGCTCAAAAATGATGAATATAGTAATCAAAAGAAATAAAGAACAAAAACTAATGGCAGCCACTTTATTAGGTACACCTGTACAGTCATATTCACTTCAATACAACACTTCCACCTGAACATGTCTTTATGAAGCTCACAATGTTTCAGTTTTTAGTGAAACTGTCATAAATGTATCAATTCAATTCTATGTTTATTACTAAGGTTATAGTTAAAGGTGGTGTTGTACTTGACTATGTTATATTCAGAGATGTCTATAGTTTTGTCCTCCCCAGCTACATACATGAGAGTCAGAATATTAGGAACACCTCTAAATATAATGTAGTCACCACCTTTAACTATGACCTCAGTAATAAACATATAGCTGAATTGATACATTTATGAAAATTTAACCAACAACTGAAACACGTTGAGCTTCATAAACACAGATGTTAAGGTGGAGGTGATGCACTGAAGTGTGTACAATTGTACCTAATAAAGTGGGCAGTGAGTATGTGTGAACAAAAAACAAAGTATTCAACCTGGTAAGTTGATGGGCATGTCTTGTTTGGAGAATGTATTCTCAATCTCCTCATTCATCGACTCTATTGTCGACTGGGTGGATATTCTGCTGCTGCCCAATACTGACCTGGGTAACAATTTTTACAAGATAAAAAATGCGGAATGTTCCACTTTACACAAGGTACAAACACATGCCAAACACAGCTACCATAGGCTATATGATACACTATCTTCCTTAACAAAATCGCTGGTGGTTTTCCTTAGTTTTCCTAAACTTGACATATGTAATCAACAGGTCATAACATCTTAACTGGCTGTATGTTCCAACAGCTGTGCCATGGTACCTGAAGAATGGCATTATGAGGCCCCCAGTGGTGCTTGTCTGGTCTGATGCTGATCCACCAGGGATTTCTTCCACAAAGAACCAGCTGGCTTTGGCCTGCACTGCTCCTGGAGCTACCTGGTACAGCGGCCGAGGGGTGACATCATTGTTTCCTTCATCAAACACCTGCAAACAGGATAACAATTAGGTATCCGTGCTAATATATTGTGGCGACCCAGTGAGGGGGGTTATGTTGTTAGGTATTGCAGGCTGTTACGTTATTCATGTCGCTTTAAGAGACTGTTGAATTATGGGGGTTCTCATGTGGAAAAAAGGAGGAAGAGCCAGGGCAGAAAAACAAGTGTGTGATTGTTACCTGTTCTGTGTGTGAGTTGCTCTACGTTGTTGAGGAAGGAAGAGAGCTAATAAAGAGTTACAATGGAGTCTGGTGAAGCTGCAGCAGACTTGCCTAAAAAGGCAAGTGTGGATTTATCTGTCTCCATTGCGCAACAGGTTAGTCTCCAGTTAGGCCTAGGTCACTCTAGGAATCATTACAGTGGTGTCAGAAGTGGGATACGAGCGCAGGGAGCTGCCCGCTGTCGCGGCGGCACTGCAGAGACGTTTTGGCCAAAGAACAGCAACAGAGCAGAGCCATGACCAGCTAGCCAGTCACCAGCGCAGGGAGAGAGAGAGTCTAGGAAGCTACGCTGCTGACATCCAGCTGTACACCAGGCATGGCTACCCTTCCTTCTCACTGGCTGCTCGGGAGGAGCTAAGCCTGCATGCGTTTTTGCGGGGTCTGGGCCCCGAGAGACTACACCAGCATGTCCGCCTGACATCACCCAGCTATTTGGAGGAAGCACTCCGTGAAGCACAGCGGAGGAGGTGTTGATAGATTGCCTGCGCACCTGGCTAGAGACTGCCATGCCCCAACTCCAAGAGCCAGGGGGCTGCCACCATTGGGAAACGACAGCTGGATGGGACATTGCGGGCCCCCCATCCCAGTTAGTGGCACCCCTCCAAACGTTGTACGGTGGCCAGCCATGGTGGGTACACAAGGGGACTGTACATTGTCTGCAAACTCAAAGGTCGGACCTGTCGAGCCCTGGTAGATACAGGGGCC